CCTATGGTGAACCAATCTGGGCGGTTTACAACAATTAAAAGAAAAATAAAGATAAAACAGTATATTCCCTCCCTCCCCCCTTAAAACATTATTAAATCAGATACCAATTAAAACAATGACAGATTAATTAAAATCTGAATATTTTAGATTGTTAATATTCCTTCCTCCTATTTTCACTCCTTCTTCTATGTCTAAGCCTGTTTTTCATATAATATGTTCTGCATATAAGTTGAACAGATAGGGTGATAAGATGCAGCCTTGTCTGACTTCTTTTGCAACTGGGAGCCATTCTGTTTCTCCGTGTTCTGTTATGACAATAGCCTCTTGTCCTGAGTACAGATTTTTCATCAGGACTATCAGATGTATTGGTACTCCCATGTCTTTAAGGACAATCCAGAGTCTTTCATGATCAGTCAAAGGCTTTGCTATAGTCTATAAAGCACATGCTAAATTTTTTTCTGGAATTACCTGGTACGTTCCATTAGCCATTGTAGGTTTGCAACGTGGTCCCTAGTGCCTCTTCCTTTTCTGAATCCTGTTTTGACCTCTGGGATTTCTCTCTCCATGTATGGTTGGAGTCTATGCTGCAGAATTCTGAGCATAATTTTGCTTCTGTGGGAGATTAATGCTATCATTCTATAGCTGCTGCAGTCTTTTGTGTCTCCTTTTTTGTGAATGGGAATGTATATTGATAATTTCCAGTCTGTTGGCCATTGTTTAGTTTTCCATATCTGTTGACATATGTTGGTTAGCACTAGAGTTGACTCTGTAAATGTACAGTTTGAATGGAATATCATCTGTTCCTAGTGATTTGGTTTTCACCATTTCTCTCATTGTAGCTTCCACCTCACTTTTTAGAATTTGAGGTTCATCTTCATTCCATATGTCTTTCATTTTGTCATCTCTTTTATATAACTCTTCTGTGTATTTCATCCAACGTCTTTTTATTCCTACCTGGTCTCGAATTATGTTATTTTTATTGTCATGTAGTGTTCAGATCCTTGGTCTAAATTTTTCTTTGATTTCCCGGATCTTGTGGAATATATCCTCATAGTGTCCTTCTAATGTTCAATCAAAATCTAGCATCCTGTAACTTCAAACCATTAGGCCTAATCCTACCCTCTTGGAAAGCAGGGAACAATCCTTCCCCCTTCTCCCTGAGACAGTCCTTGGAGCATTTAAAGTATACAATCATGTCACACCTCAATCTTCTCTTCACCATGGTTTGATCCTATGGAACTGTGGAATCTGCAGTTTAGGGAGGAGTATTTAAAATCCTAGCCAAAAGCTGTAATCCCTCGCCAGACTCCAGGATTCCATGGGATGGTGTCAGCTAAGGGAGAATACAGATCTATAACTATGTAACATGAAAGGGCAGAATGGGAAGCTGGAAAGGTTTTGAATGGTGGATTTATATGTGACAGGGATTAAAAGTGCTCAAGACTGGAGTATTTAAAATTCTCAGCCTTCTTGTGCTTTAAGTCTGAGGGATCAGATGAAGAGGATAGGAACCCAGGAAGCATGGCAGAGTAATTCTAGGAGCCTGCAGCCAGCACAGAGACCTAGCTCACAGCAGTCACAAGAGCCAAGTTCACCATTGCTTCCTCCCTCCCCCAGAGAACCAGCCAGACTTACCAGTACTGAACCCTGAAGAGAGATACCAAGAAAGCCATTTTCTGCTGTTAGGGACCACCTGCAAGATTCAGAGGGGCTAGCCTATAAATATCCTAGCCACTCCCTTAGTCCAGCATGGCTGACAACTATCCATTTTCTTTGGAAAAAGCCTCACTGCTGTGTTGTTACTGGATCGATCGCCTGTTGTCTTGAACTCTATGGACTCTATGCCAAGAGATATTCAAAGGAAATTCAAGCAACTTTCAGCCAAGCTTTTCAGCTATTCATATTCCAATGCCTAAACAATTTGTTCTCCTTAAAGTTTCAGACTTCAGTTCAGTCCTGAGAGGGGGTTGTATAACTTATCAAATTTGACTATTCCCAAATATCATGGTGTATTCACCAAAGCATGCTTTAATGTAATCTTTCTGCTGTATTAAAGGACCAAAGCATGCTTTAATGTAATCCCTTCTGCTGTATTAGAGGACCATTATATATAAGGATCGTGTTTGTCCTTGTTCAGGGTTTTATATAGTCTATAGCTCACGTCCATTGCACTTTTTATAAGGATGTAAGGTTGAGATTAATTATACCTCTCCTATCTAAGGGGGGAAGCAGACGACTGCTTCCCAGTCGCCGCGGGTCGGAGCGCCGGCGGAGCTCAGTCTCCGCACCGCGGCGCTCCTGGGGCGAATCTAAAAGGAGCTCCAAATTGGCGCTCCTTTTAGATTTAAGGGAAAGTGCACCCTAAAAGCGGCAGGCACACTTTCCCTGACTCAAACGCCGCGGCGCGTCCGGTCGCCGCGGCGTGAGGTCATCCCCGGAGCGCTGGCCGTGCGAAGGGCCGGCGACTCCGAGGGCGACCTCGAGAAGAGGAAGGGGTGCCGCTCGTGCGGCTGCCCCTCCTCTTCTGGGCCCGGAAGACGGCTCAATTAGCCGTCTGCCGAGGCCCTAAATTCCCAGGAAGATCTCTGAATTGGTACTTGCTTTATTTCTTGGGTAATTCCAATAAAAGCATAATGGAAATAACTGTAAAGTTTTAATTTTGTGCTGCTAAAACCCATAAGATTTTGACTTACACACATGTATAATAAACAGAACTGTTTAGTGGTTAAAATGTTACTATTTTTAAAGCTGTTTTTTAAACTTTCAATTAATGCTTTTTATTATATGTGAATAATATTTTTATATTATTTGTCAATTATGGCATGTTAGTAATAAAGAGGGACATTTGGATTGATTTATTCTTTAAAGAAATGGCCAAATATTTAAACTTGTTTTTCTTACTGCATTCCCTATACTTATTTATTTAGTAAATGGTATTTTATATTATAAACTGGATGATAGCAAGTATTAATACAAATGTATGTCACTGTGCTATTTTAATATGTATTTAATGTGTTGCCTAATGGTCTGTCATCTGTAATAAAGGCTTTTGGTTTGGGCTATTCCGATAAACAGATAACTAATAGAAGGCTGCTTAGGCTCCACAACATAGCCTTTATCTTTTTGTCTCCAACTGTTCTTCGTTCCTCTCTGAGTAATACTAAAACCCAGGTTATCCAAGCTAAAATGGTGGGAGACTCAGCACAGGAAAAAAGGAAATACTTCTATTTTTCTGCCACAAGATGTTGTGATGGATACCAAATGTAGTTAGACAAATTCATTATACATTCTTGATCTGATCCAATGTGGCTTTTTCTATTATCTTAACTGGTTCAATATTATAGTCCAGGTCCTAGTACATGTTGTGATAGATACATGGAATTCCTTCCTAAATATGTAGGCCTGCAATGAAATGGGCAGTTCCACAATGTTCACCTGTTTGTCCAAAGATCTATGTTCTCTAACAATGTAAATGAAAGAACTCTGTGGATGCACAAGCAAAACTGATATTATTCTTCATTTATTTTATTGATAAATTTACAAGGCTTAAGAGTGAATGGTTTGATTATATATTAGCCTTCATTATATCTAATTGGATTTGTACTCCAAAACTCCCACTCCTTGGGCAGTGTACAGTAGTATACTGTGGTAGTCATAGTCGTAGTAGCAGTAATAGTAGTAGCATCAAGGACTCTAAGGTTGGATCTGCGTTGTAGAAATAATACAGTTTGACACTACTTTAAGTGCTGTTGGTCCATCCTATGGAATCCTGGAATTTGTAGTTTTACAAGGTCTCTAGCCTTTTCTGCCAAGGAGTAGTGGTGCCTTGACCAACTACAAATCCCAGGATTTATAGGATAGTAGCCATGGCAGTTAAAGTGGTGTCAAACTGCATTATTTCTACAGTGTAGGTGCACTCTTAGACAACATGTGCCTTTAGATAAGAATGCATAGATGCTACTCTTTAAAAAAAACCTGAAACTTACAAATCTGTTGTTTCTCAATCCATACTTTGACATGATGCAGCTACACTTTGCCATTTCACTGGCAACAGTTCCTCCTCCACTGCAGCTGAACGTCCACAGCTCAGTTCTTTTTCTCCCTCTCCCACCAGAGGCTGGGCATCATCATGGCAAAACCCACTCTAGACATGGCCGCTTTAAACAAAGATAGCATATTACATCCATACCATCCTCTCAATTTTTTTCAGCTAAGACATTCTTCTTCCTACATATTCCCCCTAATTTTTTTTACCTTTAATAACAACCTATATTTTACATTTCTCATTACATAATCAAGATATTTTAGTTTTCTGTATTGTATGTGTGTTATGGCTTCTTGGTCTTTATATAAAATCAGGAGAGCAAACTGCTTTACTCACAGAAGCCCCCCCCCCCAGCTCTCCTCCTCCGAGAAGGAAAAGCACAAATGTCTCCTCTTTTAAAATGCTTTGCTTCCCTCCCCCAGAACCCCTAGAAGCAAGCAAGGCATATAAGAAAGAGTTGGCAGCTATGTTTTGACTGTTTAGGGGAAGGGATCCATGGCAATTAGCTCTTCTTAAAATGGTTTGCTCAGTGAGGTACAGAGATGGAAGCTGGTTTGCTCCTGAAACTTGGCAGTAAACCATGATGCCTGAAAGGACAGGCTTTTGGAGGGGGGATTTCATTGGGAGGATGGGGACTGGAAAGCACTGGGGTGCTGCAAATTGGGAACTATTCTTCACAATTACAAAATGATATTAGCAGATCTGTCTCCTTATTATTCATTCAAACATATTCATTCAAATATATTCAAATGAGACAAAGCAAGGGCAAGGAACCTTTGGTCATCTAGACCTCTGAATTAGATCTCACAAGAAAACCCTAAGCTTGGCCATGCTAAATAGGGCTGATGAATGTTGAAGGGCAAAACAGCTGAAAGGCCAAATGCCTTCACTTATGGGACAAAGGGAAGGTGAAGCGTTTGGAATGGGAAATAGCACTGCACTCAAGAGAGTGATTTTCAAAAGTGGTGTAGTGCTTTGAGTGCTGGACTATGACTCTGGAGACCAGGGTTCGATTCCCAGCCATGAAATCCACTGGGTGATCGTGGGCAGATCACATGCTCTCAGCTCAGGGGAAGGCCATGGCAAACCTCCTTTGAACAACTCTTGTCAAGAAAACCAAGAAAACTATAAGTTGGAAGCGACTTGAAGGAACACAGCAACAATAACTGCTCATCTGCACCACTTGATGTATTACTTCAAAAATTACTCAAAATTAAATTAACTACTTAAACAATGAACAAAAATAAGCATGCAACTAGGACAGGTTGAATCTCCCTTATTCAAAATGCTTGGGATCAGAAGTGTTTTGGATTTCAGATTTATTTATTTTTAGGATTTTATAATATTTGCTTATAGATAATGTGATGGGACCCAAGTCTAAACATGAAATTCATTTATGTTTCATATACACCTTATAAACATAGTCTAAAGGTAATTTTATAGACAATATTTTAAATAATTTTGTGCACGAAACAAGGTTTATGTACAGTGAGCCATCAGAAAGCAAAAGTGTCACTGTCTTAGCCATCCATTAAAAAGGTCTTGGGCTTTGGACTATTTTGGATTTTGGAATTCCAGATAAGGGATGCTAAACCTGTATTTATATTATCTAACAAAAACAAAGATCCAGCTCTATCTTGAATTTGCAGAATGAGATTGATTTAAAGTTAACTCATTTAAAGTTACTAGAAGTGATAGTTGAGACTGATTTGATATACTTGATATGATATAGTTATATGAATAACTAATATCAAAAAGTCTAACATACCAAAGATGGTAAATGTTGAATCACTTATTTTGGGAAATGAGCCTTTCCAAAGCAAAATTAGCCTTCATTTCAAAGATAAATTCTTACAAAAATACAACAAAGTTACTTAGCACTTTGCCTTTGAAGATTTTCCTGTGATGTTCATTTAAAATAAAAACTATTATTTTAATAAAGAACCTACTCATTAACTTGTGTCTCCTTTCAACTATTTTCGTAAAGATCCTGCTATATTTAACAAGGTATCACTGTACACAGTAGCAGTTTACTGCAATTTTTTCTCAGGTATGCAACCACAACTTTCATGAACCACTGTTTTCAACAACTATAATTTCTTCCCACATCAACTAAAAACAAAAATAGTTGTTCCCACATGTTAGTGCCAGACAGTCCACAGTCTTTTTATTTACCTTTGGGCTGCCCAGCTGACTCACCACAGAAAAGTTCTGAAGTCGATCTCCACAAAAAAGCAATTTTTGCTTACACTCTTCTTGCTCCCCGAACATATGAGAGTGCACTGTTGCAGTTCATTTGTTCATATCAGTCACAGAAAACTATTTGAAATTTACAGATAGTTCAGTCTTCATCAAAATACTAGTGCCTTTAGCATGGAAATCAAATGAGCCTCTGGATTAAACTACATGTTATGCTGGGAGAGCTGAAACTGGTTTTCTAACTGTTTCACATCCTGATTTTACTTAAGGCAACTGTAGGGAGGGAGGGCAGATCATCCTTGGGCCAAATGATCCACTAGCTCCAGGCCTTCTCCTATGGCTCCTTCTACCATCCTTAAATAAAACTCAGAGTCAAGGTGGTCTGGTTAAATGGAAGTTTTATTCTAAAGTTATAACCAACAGTTATTCCTCAGGGACTTTCAGTCTCTTCCTGTTCATGTTTCTGCCAGCTCTTCCTTAGTTCTGATTCCTTCAACTCCTTATGCCACAACTATCCTATAGGCCCACACTGAATTTTACTGCCCTTGAAGCTCACATAGTACTGCTGGATTCAGGAGCTGCTGGACTCATGTTGTTGGTCCTTCCCAGACAGAATGAGTAAGGACTTATTCCATCTTGGGTGAAGCAATCTCTCAGGAGGGCATACTCAGATGAAGGACTAAGGCTGCTATCTTGGGGTTCTTCTCATCTAACACTGCAGTTACCTTTCTCCTCCCATTTGGCTATTCCTCTCTCAAGTTCCTGATTTCTTCTGCCTAGTTCCATTCCTTATCCTCCCTCACTTTGGGCCCCATCTCCTTCCAAAATTTGCCTTCTTCTTGGTTGCACACACTCTCTGACACCCCCCACCCACCCAGCATCTCTCATCAATTTTTCTACTTCATGGCTCAACCTCTGGGCAGCACCAGTCTCTGTCAGCTTGCCGTTTAGTAGATCACAGCAGCCAAAACAGGGGAAAATTCCCCATTTTAGCCACAATAAATCTGTCAAGACCCCACAGACTGAGTTTTTTTAAGGCCACCCAATGAGCTTTATGACTATCTAGGTCACAGTGATTCCCAAACTTGTCCTCCAGATGTTTTGGACTTCAGCTCCCAGAATTGCTGTCGGTTGACCAAGTGGCTGGGGTTTCTGTGAGATGGAAGTCCAAAACACTTGGGGGACCAGAGTTTGGGAATCATTGCCAGGAGAAAGTCAAGAGGGAGGAAGGAAGGAAGGAAGGAAGGAAGGAAGGAAGGAAGGAAGGAAGGAAGGAAGGAATTCTCAGATTGCTTAGTATAGCATCCAAAACCAGATTTTCTTCTTCCTCACTACTATTGCAAAATTGTGAAATACATGCTAAGTGTGGGGCTTTTTATGCAGGATTACTGTCTTTCAACAGTAAAAATATTGCTGCTTCTGAACTCCGAAAATAATCCAGGTTGACACCACGTTAAATGCCATGGCTCCATACTATGGAATTCTGCAAATTGTTCTTGCTTGGGGCACCAGAGCTCTCTGACTAATGTCTCACAAAACTACAGTTGCCAGTATTCCATAGCATTGAGCCAAGGCAGTTAAAATAGTGTCAACCTGAATTATTTCTGCAGTGTGGATGCAGCCCATGTGGCTATATTTTCTGCAAGATTACTTTTTTTTTTTTTGCACAAATACTAACCATCACTAGGGTTTCTTGGTGGGGCACTATTTTGCACTAAAAGTCCTCAATTTTCTAGCCACTACTTGGTTGCACTCTACCAGAGGAACTGTGGGGGGAAGATCTACCTCTTCACAGGCCCACAGCTTTGACAAACAATGGGGTGAAACAGACCGCACCGAAGGAGCAGTCACACCGTCCCTTTGATTGCTGGGTTGGGGCCATGGCAACCGCATGCCATGCCACCAACCAGGCTTTTTGCCAGTGCAAAAAGAAGTGGCAAAAAGTTGCTCCTTTTTGCGGCTGCAAAAAGGAGGCTTTTCCACCACAGAGACAGCTTTTCAGCACTCCTGATGCACCGCCACAGTGCCACAATGCTGCCCGCCATGTGAGCAGGCAGGCGGTATGACACCGGCGTAGGGCAGGGTGTCAGTGCATGTGTCGTCCAAACCCCACACCTCCCCCACACACCACCCACAAGCTGGCTGATGCTACCAGTCTGTTTCACCCCAATGTCTCCTGGAGGATCATGATTGTGTTCTGGAGTCATTTGAGGTTTATATGTTTTTTTCTTTCCTTTGCCTTTAAATAAATTACAACCTGATCTTTTTCGGTATGCCTTTAGATTGCCCCATGTAGCTGGAACCCACTAAACTGTGTATGAGTTCAGCCGATAGGTACAGTAAGACAAAGGCCTCACCAGCTCCCTCCAGAATCCACCCTCATTGATCTTGCCCCATGGCAACCCTGTAGATGAGACGTCCCCAAGACTCCCTGTCCTCCACTTCTCTGCTCAGTTCCTGCAAATTCCTACCCGTGACCTCTTTTATAGTCCGTCCATCTAGCATAAACCCTTTCTCTCTTTCTGCTTCCCTCCATCTTTCCTAGCATTATTGTTTTTTTCCAATGAGTCATGCCTTCTTATGATATGGCCAAGTACGACAGCCTTAGTTTAGTCATTATTGGCTTCCAGAGAGATTTCTTGGTTGATCTGTTCTAGAACCCCTTTGTTTAACTTCTTGGTTCTTCATGGTATCCTTAGCACTCTTCTCCAGCACCACATTTTGGATGAATTGATTTTCTTCCTATCCACTTTCTTAACTGGCCAACTCTTGCAACCATATATGGTAATAGGGAATACAATGGTTTGTATAAGTCTAACTTTCATGCTCAATTGTATATCTTTACATTTTAGGATCTTTTCTAGTTCTTTCATAGCGTCTCTCCCCATTCTTAGTCTTATGATTTCTTGACTGCAGTCCCTGGTCCGATCAATGTTTGATCCTAGGTGTGAAAACTCTATATTTGAGAATGAAATAGCTGACAGACATAGTTAAAAAAAAATTTCTTATGATGATACCTATTGCTTTGTGCAGGCTGAGGTGCCGAAGGCATAAAATCATTTGAAATGTAAGAAAATGTACTCCTCTTTTATTATTGCTTAATAATATAATTTCAGACAAAAAAATCACTTGATGCAGACATGTATTTGACTTATACTAAGGTTTTTCTTTCTGTGCTACTCTGAAACAACAGTACTGAATTAAACCTAAGAACCTATTACACATATGGAGACTCTCATTGCCATCTGATTCCTGCAGAAAAAAGGTGCCTTTAATGTATTCAGCTCTGCTGCCAAAAAGCTCTCGCACATGAACAATTACAGCTAATTTTAACCAAATTGCTTCCTGTGAGAAGTGGACATCATTAAGCAACTTTCTCCATTTCCTTTTAGAAAGAAGTCTTAAAAACAGAATATAAAGGTCTTTGTGATACTTTCCGATAAAATCATTAGGCTAACACTAGTTACTTCAAAGGATAGGTTGGAAATCACCTAGCCCTCAGTGAAGCATATAAAACAGCATGCTGTGCTTCAAAGCTACATCAGTTTATTAGGAGATTTCATTATTTAAGTGTGACATAAATTGTTCAGAAACAGTAATCTAAGTTGTATATGAAGAAGACTAAAGATTTTTGTACCAATATCTACTCATCAGTGTCAATATTGTGAAAAAATATCCATTGTTAAAAGTGTTATAATTATATCCACTATTAATAATGTAATAATTCTTATTATTAACTGAACAACATTGATCTAAATCACAATATTAATTCCAACTAGACCAGACCCACTGAATCACTGTGAACTTGGTAACTCAGCACATCAAGTTC